AACAAAGGTTAAAGTCTATCAAGGATGAACCATACATGTTGAAAGGAGGATATTTGATCTGCTGATCTGGCAACAAAATTTCAAATCAATGTCAGTGTTATCGGGTAAATCTTCAGGACTATTAAATTTGATTGCCAGAGTTTTAATGACTTTCATTGTCAAGTAAACACGATCCCTTCCATGTGAATTGATAGATGATTTGATTTCACTGGTATTGTTACTAGGGCTTGTTACATTGTTCTGCATGCATGAACCGTAGATGTAGATGTACATGTAGCTAATGTATTTCAATCTATACATAATACAAACCACCCATCCCCTTCCCCATTGATTCAACACATTACCGGACTAAAACTTAATGGACATTACCAGGTAACCAAAATATTTGGACTACAAAAAAAAATTCTCATGTTAAACTATCGCATTTGTCTGTTTTTCTCACATCCAACTCCCGATAACCACACACAAAAAATCCAAATAAAAACTTAAAAACCTAGAGTGTGGTTTTTTGAAACGCTTGCAGACATTTCAACATTTTTTGCAGTGTAAATGTTCTCTCTCAAAACATTGGTGAATCATACCAGGTTTTGGTCACATGACTCTCCATGCTTCTGTGTTAATGCTTGCAGGACATTGACAAGTGATACATGTGTACAACTCACACACAAAAATTATCAAATACCAACAATTTCTTACATGCTTTTTAAGTACCAATGGCAGTTTAAAAAAAAAAAAAAAAAATCAAAATGGTTTATGGCTGTGTAAATGGTCCTTATATATATATATATATATATATAGAGTTTCTGTAAGCTGATATATTTTCAACTTACAGATTACAACCATGAAGTTTATTTATATGTATATGTATCTAGAGATATAACTTTGGGGGATAACAACAATATTTGGAATATACACAACTGCTACATGCTTTTTCTTGTGCAAATCAAACTATTACATTTGTTGTTGGTGAGAGATAGCTTGGCATATTTAGTCAAAACACCTTTTAACTTTTGTTTTGAAAAAATACAAAGAAATCACTTTTGTGTAAGCTGATGCATTTTGAATTTATAGAAAACAATGATAACAATCTCAATGTTTTGTTTGACCTTGACAGAGCTGTCACATGTGATGTGTATCTAGAGCTCTAACTTTGGGGGGATAACAAAAATATTTGGATTAGAATCACTTGACACAATTTTTCAAGGCACTTTCTCACATATACCAAACTATTACTTTTGTTGGTGAGAGATATTCTGATATATTTTCTCAAAACACCTTTTAACAGAGTTGAACAACAAACAAACTTTTGTAAGCTCAGTGATAAAAATAATAATAAATTCCAAGGGGGTGTAAGAGATGCCCGAAGCTAAAAAGGAGAAAAATGGAAACTGATTATTTTAAAGAGTACAATTTGTCACCTTGACATGATTCCCCAATCCTACAGTTGCTCCTAAATATAACCAAAAAATTCAATATGCAGATATTTTGAAAATAAATTTGATTAAAGTACATACTGTAGGGTATCTCTTCAATATTGTGAATTATTTATGATTTAACAAACAACATGTTTACAGTACATACATGTATACATGTAGGTCTTTTTTGTGGGATTATTCAAAACAAAAATAACAATTTTCAAAATATTCAAAATTTGAACAGTGTGTTTTCATTTGCTACAAAGTACTTTGCAACACATTTGTTATAGCGATATGAGACATACTATATCAATAATACATATTTAGCAAATGCTACTCAACAAAAGGTTCATACAGTACATACATTTAAATGTGATCAAAGACAACAGAGCTGATTTATCCCCTTCTTTTGAATGAAGAATAAACCTTTAAATTGCATAATGTAATACAAAACGTGGGAATTTGATGGAGCATGTGACACATATTGAAATCCAGACCGTAAATTGCCAGTATGCTCAAGTGTTGTTTTATACACCTCTAAGTATTGGTTATCATGAAGCATAAATAATTAAAGCTATTCCACAATGCTTCAATTTTGCATGCTCCTCCTTCAAAATGACAAGCTCAGAAGAAAACGGTAAGTGTTTGACACATTAAAAGTGCCGTGTGATGTAAGCAAAGTTTTCAGTCTTTGATTAAATTTAACATTAAAAGGTGATTTTCATGAAGACCCTCCTCTAGTGTTTATTGTTGGCTGATACTGGCTACAATTGTATCAATGCAGTGAAGCCCTGATATATCTCGGGTTGGCTTGAAACAAAGTGGAAATAAAACCTTAATGAATAGGTTAATGTCAAGGGATACGAATGTACATGTACAATTCTATTCCAAATAATCTTCCTTTTTAAAAAAAATATGCTCTAGAAGCAATGTAAATGGGGTGTATTAACTTTCTAGAATATCATTATAATTATTAATCACACAAAGGCCACAGGTGAAAAGGTGTTCAATCTGCAACACATCTCTTCTTTTTTTCTCTCACAGGAATTTTCTGAATGTATCTCTAAGTTGAGGTTGTGAGCAATTGTGATTATGTCTACATTTACAGTGTATGACTCTGATAAGAAGTTTGTGACAAATTATAAGGACTGCTTGGAGCCTGAAGTGTGTTAACTCATATATGCTTTAACACAGAGTTAATGCCTTTCTGGCTCCAGACAGCTGATATAACAAAGGCATAAGGAATCTGATCTACAAATAAGTGGTGACTATGGCTTGGTAAAGAAGAGTACAGGAAGAGTACAGGGTCTATCACCAGACCATTTTGAAAGGGGGAGGGGAGAGGGGGTGTTCAACCACATTTGTAGATCATTAGGGTGCAATTTTCTACCAAACTAAAAAAAGTGGTCATCACGTTGTGTAATTTGCCAAACGAGTGATTTGTCCAAATTAGCAGACATGGTATACCAAATTTGGTAAAAGAAAATTTTCATTTAAGAGAGGGAGGGGGGATTCCCATCCTACATTAGCTCTCCCCTCCAGTGACACCGCTGAGAGAGTCTTTGGAACTCCAAAGTCTACACTTGAGTCTGTCCACGGTCAGATGAGCAAACAACTCAGGTCTCCAGCCCGGAGGTTGAGGGGTCGCCGTGACGACCACATCCCAATCAACGCCCTGACAGCCGAGTTCATCTCAGTCTGGATTAGTCAAATCCTCTTTTCCCACATCCCGATGGAAATCATCCGTATAAGAACTTGGGATTATCATCTCAAGAGTTTCATACTGAATGGGAGAGGGTTTGTTCATCATCCAAGCTACTGCAATCATGCATGGTATTGGAACTACATGCACAATGGAATTGACTTGGCTACAAACTACTCTCAAAATGGAATGTTGTAATGTTGGTATTCTATCTATATTTCAACACTTATCATACATCTAATGATAATTTCAATCCATTTCTCTTTTGTTTGTGGGCCAATCCGAGGATTTTAAGATCATGCAATATCGATCAGTCACGCATTTGGTTGACAGAAAACTTTTACAAGCATTTTTGTTTTGGAAAGTACTAAAAAATAGAAAAACATCAATATTTCTGCACACTACATTTGTATGATTTCTTGATCTGGTGTCCACATAGGCTTGTGCATTGCACTTGCTAGGGTTCGTGAAACCAGAAGAAAAAAGAAAGATAAAAATTGTGGACCTGCACACTAAACTGACAGTCTTCATCTTTTCAAATTTTGTGAACGACATATATATACATGTAGGTGATATACATGTAGGTGAAATGATATTTTTGTTTTTTTTAAATCAAAAATATTCATGTTCCATAGTTAGGGATCATGCACGGATATTGTATACTGACATGGTATACTGACACAGGTAATAAGGTAATAAGTATTAAAGTCTCAAACCCTATATGTATGAAAGCAATGCAAATAAATATTTGCAGAGCTGGACCAGATATTGAAATCCAATTTCAGCTGGGATCAACAGAAAATTGTGGTGTAGTCATTTAATTTCCTCCCTGCTTCCTCACATCATAAACAGAAAATATGACTTATATTGGACAATATTCTTCAATTTAGACTTCATGGTTGGTCACTGTTAGTCCTCCGTGATATTGGATTGGTATTTGATAGGGAAAACATGATGTAAATTGATGCAGCCCTTTTTTTAGATTACAAGGAACGAGAAGTTGATAATGTTCCATTGCTTGAATAGTAATGTTATTGCTGAGCATACATGCAGGCCCTGAACTCAAACAGTACAAACAACTAGACTGATCAACCTTTGCAATAATAAGTAGAAATGGCATTCGATTGGGGCCCTATTAAACAGAAGTGATTTCGCTTTCATTCTTGATTAGTGAAGTCTCGACTGCATGGATTTAACGTGTATGCATGTGTCTAATGGTGTGTACATACGCATGGCTTTTGGTACTTTTTGATACCACATGGACTTGATGAGCAGCATTATTCTATATAATCAATACAGCGATAGAGCAGGAGGAGCAACACCTTGGGAGTTGGAGCAGTGGTCTTAGGACCACGTGGAGATCCAGGGTTCAAACCCCAGTCTGAGCTCTAAGTATCTTGTGAATAATGGCAATTCTATTTACATTTAGTAATCAGTACAGTAGTCGATCCCTTTGAGAAAACTGTTTGCAGAAGGTCCCCATGTTCCTTGTCAATTAACAGTTGAATTATTATGAAATATATAACCTTGATGCCAGTCAGGTTATAAATCTGTAAAAACTTTTAATAGATATGATGAAAGTTGAAATGAAAGATTGTGCTATTTAGCCACATTTTATGAGGTGCTGCATATATACAGTAACAATAACTTATCATAAGATGATAATCATAAGATTAAAGACTATAAAAGAAGAAATGCACCTACTTTCTTGCGGAGTAAAGCCAACAAAAAACAGATTAGAATGTTATGAGACAAAGACAGCAAAATTCAAGGCCAATGTTCCAGTGCAGAAAATAGGAAAAGAGATCAAGAAAAAAAATTTAAAAAATAATGAAGAGTCGATTTCCCCCCAAAAAATAGTTTTCAATTTGAAATATACTTACATGACACTTGTCATGGTCAGGAGCTCCTCCCATGTCCCCCATGATGTATGAGTCCTCCAGCTTGACTGTCAGAGAGAAAATAGAAAACAAAAAGAAATGTAAGTGGGATGAACAATTCTCTAGTGAAAGAGAAAGACCTTATTTCTTTATTAGACCCTGGAGGTTTAATTTGCGTACACACTGGCTTGCATCAGAAGGGTTGTAAAAGGGGAAAACCCTGTTTAAATTCCAGTAGTAAGTATAACAATAGTAATATTAGGTTAGCTGCCCACATAACCTTAATATTTCATTTTTGTTGGCCTTTTTCTTTTTGCTATATGTTCTTGAGATTTTGCTGTTGGCCACTCTTTATTTCACCTCAGAATCAGCTATTTAAAATCAACTTAAAAGATCACTTAATGTTCAAAAGAAGAACAAAATGTGTATCTTTCCTATTAAAAGAGTGAAGAAAATGAACACACACATACAAACAAAAAATGTCTTTTTATACACCTGAAAATTGCCAAGGTTTTGATCAACCAGTATAGAAGTAGCCCCTATATTCAATGAAACCTTATTTCCACACACCATTGAAGCTGTATGTAACTTTGTAAGTGGCAGCACTCATTCATGAGAGAAACTTCTAGCACAGAATTTATTAGATTTCTCTGTATTCTTGAATTTGAGTGCACAGCATGAATATTTCTCCAATTGGTGCCATTTTGCTGCATTCGGCACCCCATAGGGATCCACACAAGTAAGAATATTCATGAAATAATTGTAGAAGGCAGTGCCTAAATACATGTAAGTATAACAGGATTATTCTTTCCTGCAGCTCAGCTGGTATTACAAGGTAACACTATTATGCAGCACAGTGAATAGCAGCTGATCATGCTACTTATAGATTTAATAGCATTGTGACGACATGAATGGACAAATAAAAAACATTTTGAAGAAGGAGATAGTATCTAAATCGGGGTTATTAAATGTTTTCAATGGAAATTTGTCATATATGTTTGTCACTTAAAAACTGTCAGACTTTGAATACATAGTCTGATGAGAGAAAAATGGGTATTACCTTTATGTACAAGTATGTGAGTTGATGCCATTTTGGCTCTTAGCAGACAATATGCCTTTAAAGGTAAAGATCAGTTATGGTCATGCGATTGCATTGTGAAAGAAACGTTGTGGAATCGATCAGAAAAGGTTGATCATCTAGCATCTAGCATCTGCAAGGTTCTGGAATCATCAAAATGATAAGAAATTTGGCCCATTCTTTGTAAAGTTACAAGCACTATACACAGAAAGATGTATATGGGACTACCCTATATCTCTCACAGACCATGAGAGAAACAAATTTACCAAATATATGAATTAGTAGGCGGTTTCCCGGCAAATTTTTTTTCATCATGTATTAGTCAAAACATATTCTTTCACATGATTGGTAATGAGAGCTTCCATTTCATTTTTTGAAATTGGGACGTTTCCAATACTGGTCTTTACCTTTAAAAATAGTATTTGTCATATCATTTATTATGAACATTTCTGCCTACTGTACCATGAGCTTTTATATTGTCTATTCTTTATAGTTTCAGTTCAAACTTAACATCAAACATCAACATTCTTGTGTAATCATTACCAACTGCAAGAGTGTCTCTAGGTACCTTGAAGTTGCAATGTCTGGCAACTCCTTGGTACATAATTGTATGCACATTACCGGTAGATATATTCTTGCTGTGCTCCATCCATCCATAGTTTCATTCCAACAAAATGTACCCGGTATGTTCATGTACATGTAAATGTCACAGAAAAAAACTAATCAACCCCCATTAGAGTTTATTCCTTATGAAAATATTTACTTTGGTTGGTTTTTCAAGTGTCTTTCATATTCCTTTTGTTAGCATACCTCCCGGGGTCAACCAACGGAAGTGGGTTGTGGTTTATAAAGATCTCATGTACATGCTCTTGTTGAAGCACACAAGGACAAAGAGCACACGCTTCAATAATTTCAATATTAATCAAACATATCTGGTTGCTGTAAAATAAGAATCTTTGCATGCATAATTTTATGTTCACAAATGTCATAAGTGATTCATTTAAATTTCCAAAAGATACATGCCTCAAAATAATTCAATCACAACTGACACAGCACTAACTTTCCGGACTTCATAAAGTTTCTTACCATGCAATTGCTTGTTTGTAATTGCAAAAGTTCTTGGTTTTCCAGCCATTAAAGAGCGATTCTGTTCAAGCATTTCCCTAGCTGCGAATAAAATGATGGTAGTCATTCAACACTCATCGTTGCCTTTAACTACACAATTATGTACACTTCATCAAATCATAACCTCATGATAAAATTCTAAATCTCCATAATCCCTGCCTCACCTACATACCCTCAAAGACCCACTCCCTATGAAAACAATTAGTATTCAACTTCACGCAAACCTCCGATACTGTGGAAGGAATAATTGCATGTAATACATGCATGTATTATACTGAAACAGCATGAGATCAAAACGTAATGTGTACGCTGTCAGGAATTTTTCTAATGATTTTTTTTGCCATAACAGAGATGCATTCAGTCATGGATGTATGGTCTATTTTTGTTCTATCACACTTATATCAACCTTTCTAAAGATACATGTAGGTCACATTTCAATAATATTTGGTTCATTTGATGATTATACAGTTCATAAGCTTATTTGTGTAGGAGTTTGGGATTTTAAATAATAAAGACTGGAATGCCATGCAGGTTCCTTTTAGTATGTATCATCTCAAGAAGGAAATTATATGAGAAATTAAAAATATGACACATTGTACACATTTTTTTTTAATTCTTTGAATACATTGTAGGTACAAGAAAAAGGTAGAACGCGGTAGATTTCTATATTTATTTATTGAAGTTTATTGGTAAAATAATGATATTTGTCTCCTATTTCCATCTTTGCAAAAATCAGCTAGAGTATATTTTGCTTTATGATGAAAACAAATGATTCATTGTTTTCCAAATTCTGAACTTCAAATGTAGGCCACGCAGGTTGGAATTATGATCCTCCAATTTCAATGGGTCATGACATACTCTACTTCACATTCTCGAACAAACACAATCACATTATGCATGCATGCAATATACAGCATTTCCAGAAAATTCAAATCGTAACTTGACCCTCAGTGTCAGAACCCGTGCTATACCAACAGAAGGCCTGTCTTCATCAGCTCAAGCGGGCCAAATAGTCCGCTATTTCTGATTTGAGAAAATTAGCCCAAAGTTACAAATCGCGTCTTCATCAGCTTGAAACGCTAGCTCTAGAAATTTGCTCAGTGTTCGCGCATAGTGCTATATAGTCTTCGGGCTGGTGGAGACGGACCGGACAAATTACGGACTATTTTGCAAACTAGCCCAAGATATCTTGGGAAGATTTCCTAAGCAAATAGCCTGCAAATAGCCTGCTATTTGCGTCTTTACCTACCAAATAGCCTGGTATTTCGTGATCGGGCAAATTTCCTGAATCAGAAATAGCGGGCTACTTGGCCAACTCAAGCTGATGAAAACAGGCCTAATACAGACCAAAGAAAAAGAAGGGAAAAAACGGTCCCATTGTAAATCAGCTATTTGATCATTCAGCAAAGCAAATTCCTGCTGAGTTGGGAAACCGTACACCGCTGAATTATTCCTTTTTACTGGCTAAAAGGTTTTCATTTTCCATCCCGCTTGGTGAGGAGGATCTGTGCCTCGTTTGCGGGTGCTCCCACTGGCCTCTGAGTAGTTCAAGTTACCCACCTGTCATGGGGTCCAGACATAAAACATCAACTGATCACAAATGCACTACATACAGTCACTTGCATATGTATGTATGCCTACATGCAGTATACAATGTCTATGTATCATTCATGAGAATATACGTAGATTGTGTACCAGACTTTATATACATGCAGTCCCATCTATGCTCTTTCGTGGTGGGGTACTTTTCACTTCACATACTCCAGTCAGCAGATTTACACACTAATTTTTATATTCAATAACCAGAAACTTCTTTATTAAGGGACAATAGCAATTGCCCTACTACTGTAATGCCCTACTGGGTGCACAGGAAATTTCTCTTTCCATGCATGTTAAGCTTTTTTTTCATTATTTTTCATCAATACATGTAGCTCAATGAATGACAGTTTAAATGAACGTGAAAAGCAAACAGTGTTTTAAGTTTGAATACAATTAGTTTCTAAATTTAAATACTGATGGTATGAACCGTTATCATCTTTATACATTTGGTGAAGCATTATTATCGTGTTATGTTACAATTTCTTCTCTTTTCTTAATTCTAAGATCTCGAATATTTTCATTGCCAACAACAACAAATGAAAAATGTACACATTTATGACATTTAATGGATTTACCAGAGGCAAATACCTGCTAGTAGTTGTTTGTACGACAATGCCGATATTTCATTTATCATGATTCTCTCATACATCTTAAATTACAAAACAAGATACATAAGACTTTGATTAGAAAACAAACTGAACAATCTCTCTAGATTATCTGCTCAAAGCTAAAGGGAATTAGGCCAAACTCATATAAAATAGACCTAGCTAGCATCCTCCTGGTGCTCAACAGATGGGATTACCTACAAGTATGTATCATGAAAGTACGCAAGTAAGCAATATACGGTCAACGGCACCATGTCCATTCATTTTCTTTCCGTGCATAAACTACAAATCAGTCAATCCCTCAACAAAAAAAAGTTATTCCAATTGAACGATTCATAGGAGATGCAGAGAGAGAGAGAGAGAGAGAGAGAGAGATCAGCCAATGAATCTTCTTCTCCCATCGGGGATAGCATCTTCTCTCCCGGTCATAAACTTTAGATTCTATCAATTGGTAAAAGGTCAGTATGCCAGAGATGATAAGTCTGTTCGGTGCCAGAAGGGCATCAAGTCATATCACTTTACACAGATTTAATGCCCTTCTGGCTCTAAGCAGACGATCCGATGGTGAAGAGCACATGTACAGGTGAACAATTGAGTGCCTCATCTTAACCCAATGAATCCTAAGCCAAATTTATATTTGAATATGTCTATGGAGAATGCA